GGCAACATTATGTCCTGCCTTGTTGCTAGGACATTGCTAAGACACTGCCAATGGATTCAAACCCCCTTGCTGTCTCTCCCCTGTCCTTGTAGCTCTGAGCTCCTCTATGCTGTGATGGATGAGATAGTGGACCACACATATGCAGGGGTTTAAGAGCTCATTCCTGTGATGATGGGGACAAGCAGTAATGGCTGGGAGTGTCTTAGCAACATCTTAGCAACAAGGATTGGTTGATGTCATCTTTGGCAGTTTTTCAGCCAGGCTTCAGGAGGTACATAAATGGCCTACCCTATAGCAAGGGCATTATTTAACTTTGGTCAAAGCTGGATAATTTGTTTTTATCTATAGTTGCCCCTTACCTGCATAGGCCTTTTTTGTAAAGGTGAACCAACCCTTTAGATAAAAATGTAAGGTTGAAACTATCTGACACAACTGGGCCAAAACTGTTGTGTCTGGTAATCCACCCAGTGAACCTACTACAAGTGGCACCTGTCCTCCATTACTGCTACAGTGCAGTCACTGTCACCAGTAACACTGTCCAGGTCCCAATGGCTTGTAATCCATCGTCCCAGCAGGAGCTGCTATTTGTGCAGGCCAGCAGTAATGTTTTCTTAGCAGATGAGTCTTTGAAAGACGTGGCCATACTCTGTGTCCTTTTATACCAGTTCAGGCACAGAGAGGGGGAACTGACACATGAGTCCAAGCTTTAAATAGTGTTAACAGATTTAACTGTTCCTTTGCTATAGTCAATGAATGGTGATGTCATGTAAGTGATCTGTGTACTGGATGAACTGTGTGGACTGTGGGTTAAGTTTTGTAATATACAGTATTCTATTCTGTGCAAAGTAAATGTATTCTTTAAGGTTTTCTGAACATTCTTAGCATATATATATTATTCTTAGCATATATATATATATATCTTAGCATATACCATATTATAGAAACAAAAAATATGGTAGAATGTCCCACCATGACTGTTTTTGCCAGCATCCCCATATATATGGTCTAGAAAAACTGGAAATATTCCCCTGGGACTTGAATGGCAAAAACCTCAAAGAGTATGCAAAAAGTGTATAAAACGATAATGTTTATTCTAACACATAAGCATGATAAACGAACCAAAAGATTGAATGTAGTAAATTGTAGTACAATAATTCCTGTATCATATACAAAACATACACAACGTGCATTGAGCCTGACACTCCGTATCACATCGAATATCCAATGGACAAGCCGCCCAACCAAATTTGTACAGTGATCTTATTCATACAAATCCAACTTGTTTTGGAACTTTCCGAAGTTCCAAAACACATTGGATTTGTCTGAATAACATCACTGTACAAGTTTGGTTGGGCGGCTTGCCCACTGGATGTTTGATGTGATACGGACTGTCAGGCTCAATGCATGTTGTGTATATTTTGAATATGATACAGGAATTATTGTACTACAATATACTACACTCCATCTTTTGATTAGTTTCATCATGCTTATGTGTTAGAATAAACATTATCGTTTTATACACTTTTTGCATACTCTTTGAGGGTTTTGCCATTCAAGTCCCAGGGGAATATTTCCAGTTTTTTTCTTTGCTTACTATATTGACTGAATTTCAAAGGGGTCAAGACCTAGGTGAGGCAAACATTTATTTCATTGTCAGGAGACTTTTATCTTAGTTAAAATGCTGTGTGCTCTGCTGTCATCATTTCTCAGTATATTGGAGGTTCCTGATACTAGGGTGTAACATTTTTAGCAAGAGGAAGAGCTGTTATCATCTAGATTGCTGAAGTTTACTGTTCCCTACAAAATGTTTGAAATCTTTCACCTAGATAATGACATAAAGATTAATTCTGATTGAAACAAACATTTGCCCCCTTTGATGCTGGACAATTAGGTATCATGCACACTGGACGATTTGCAAACACTCCTAGAAGCTTTTCCTCCTGGCAGCAGCGTGTTGGCAGAAAAAATGCCTAATACTTATAAAAGTGCCTAATGCTTTTACAAGTGTTTAGGCACGTTTAAAGGCGTCAGGTGGGCGTTATTAATAATTTATCCTGGCCATTGAAATGAACTGATGCTCAAGCATTAAACTAACGTTACCACGCATTTAGATGACAAGCGTCAAGCGGTTTTTTTTGCCAAAACTCTGCTGCTACCGGACAAACTATCAGTGGGTATAGACACATGGGCTAACATTCAAGGGGGCTTAGAGGCAGGACAGAAAATGCCAGACATCCCTAGAAGCAACTGCAAAACTGTCCAGTGTGCATGAGGCCGTAAAAGTGTCACTAAACCCAGGACCCTGCATTCACTATATCTAGTCTCCCACAGTACACACAACATGGAAATGCAATTAATTTAGTAAATATAAACTGCTAAATACCTTTTCTTATAGCACTGAGGTTGTGGTATCCAACCTCATTGGATATATTTAGAATTAATGCATTTTTGGTGTATTTATGGGACTGATATGAATGTACAATATATATGTAAAGCTCTGTGTAAATTTATGGCGTTATACAAGTACCTGTAATAATAATAATAATATTCATTTTTAAAAAAAATAAAATATATTAGGTAATATATGTTAGTATTTTTATGATGTATTATTGTGGGATTATAGCATATTGAGTGATAATGTCAGTAGATTTAGATTGTTTAACCACTTGCCATCTGTCCTATAGCCGACGTACTGCTACAGGGCGGTATGGCTGTGGAAAATTACGTATATATACGTGATTTGCATTTCCTGGTAGGGGAGTGCACGCCTCCCTACCTGCGCTACTATTAGTCAATCACTTAGTCCCGTCCGGCACTCAGTGATTGTAAGCAAAGCTGAGAGGGTAATATTTTCTTTAGTATTTAGATGTGGGAGCACATTGCAGGAGGTAGCAGTAGCACTATGTATTGCTATAGGTGTGATTATTGGTAGCACAGGATTCTATTCTTTATGACAATTCACAAATCCAACTGTGATTACTCTAATACAGGCAGACAAGGCCTGGGTCTCCTAGGGCAGAGGAAATACATAGTGGTCTTCATGGTGGGCTACTGTAATAGGTAATTTTTCTTGGGACAAATACAGATCAATTCACAAAATACAGATATATGGAAGGTTCCATCTTACTTACTGAAGATCAGCTATTTGTACCTCTGTAGAGCAAGAGCCTTCTACACAGATATGCACTTTATGTATAAATGTTACATAGTTAGGTTGAAAAAAGACACACGTCCGTCTAGGTCAACTAACAGAAAAAAAAATTATGATTTTCTGTTATACCAAAACATGGTGGTGTTCCCACGATTGTAACTGTCTTTGGTGCAGAGATACTTATATTGTAGCCCCCGTCACTTTCCCACTTGTCCCCAATCCTGTTAGATATCACTCATCAGATTGTAGAGTCACTTGTAAAAATGTTCCCAGCCAGGTCTGCACATGTGCTCTGAAAATCCATTTATTCCTATAGACTTCTGGGGTGCTATCAAATACAGTGTAACTGCACAAAAGGATCTGTCTAAAACCTGCCCCTTTAAATAAGGGTCAGCAATGATTAAATGTTATATCCTTATGTACTTTGCAAATTGATTTACAGTAAAACTGAAGATGCCCATTGGGCCCCAGTGAGACTTGCCAAAATGTGTAAGCACACATGGCATACTGGTACATTATGGCCCACCTAGCTCTGCCTCCTCCAGTGATGACAGGTCCACACTCCTGTTATTGCTGCCATCTTCTCCATTGCTCCTTTCTTATCCAATATCTTGCTGTCCATTGGGCAGGCATTGATGATTTAAAGGGAAATATAAAAACACATGCAGTACATCTCTGCAATACATATACTGTACATTCCCCGCAATACATATACTGTACATTCCCCCACGTTTGATCCTTTAAAGGGTAACTTCACTTTTTGAGGGAAAAAAATAGCAAATAAAAAAAAAATAATAATATATTGTATACAACTGCAACACAAGTCATATTGTAATTGAATGTTGGTAAAAAATTACCTTTCCTTTTCAATCTGCAGCTGCTGTAATTTTCTGTAAAATGCAATGAACTATGACTACCTAAAGGCATTCTGTGCACAAATGGTGTACAGAACACCCCCCAGATATGTAATTTCCTGCTTGTGTGATTGGTTCACTGATTTTCCCAGAAGTCTGCACTAAGATACAAATCATATTTTGAGCATCCCCTGCAATACAAATGTCAGTTTTGGTGATATACTCCCAAAGGGAAATCACGTCTACAGTGATGCAGACATTGCAGTTTTCATCATTAGAGTCCTGCAGGTGCAACAGTTGATAGATAATTATTAAATCACTCCCATACAGATTCACTCTACACATGGACACAGACAAACAGCTATTTCTTCAGAATAACAAAAGGAAGGAATCTGCAACAAAGTTTGTTACAGTCCTTGCAACGTACACTCTTTACTCTTTGAAAAACCAGCAGGTACACAAAAGTGACTGTAGATCTGCCAAAAATGCTCACAGCTCTTAAAGTATAAAGGAAGGCAAAACTTCTTTATCGTTTTGTTTTAGATAAAGTGCAGAGGGAGTAGAGCACTTATCACATTTTTATTGCTGCTTTTGCTGAGAGTCACCCTCTCTTTTTGTCCTGGTGACCATCATTGCTGAAAGTGAAAGGAAATTGCACATTTGATTGGTCACCAGGAATACAAGGGAAATTTTAAAATGGGGACACTAGTTCTTGTGTCTACAAAGGGTTGCTATCAGTTTGGAGGGATGTTGTGGCTATGGGACAAGAAGTGAAGGGAAATCTTCCCAATGGGACACAGATGGGTAAAATTGCCTGACAGGAATTATAATTCCTTACTCTTAACATGGTTCTAAAGGAAGGACATTTTCCCTATATCCCTATAGTAGAACTACTGCTACAGGGCAGCAGGGTCATGCAAAATCACGTATATATACCGTACATGATTTGTATTTCCAGGTAGGGGGGCGTCCGTGAGCCGCCATACCCACGCTGCCATTGGCCCGGCTAGAGATTCCCCTCCGGCACCCGACAATTGCAGAGTAACACTGACAGGGGATAGACCTGTGTGTAAACAGCACAGGTCTCTCTCTTGTCAGAAAGAACATGCTGCTGTGTGTTTCTCTGCACAGCAGAGAAATACACAGCAGCATGTCTCCATAGTAAAACACACACAGCACATCATTTTAAACAGCACACAGTTAACCCTTTGATCACCCCACATGTTAACCCCTTCCTGCCCAGTGTCATTAGTACAGTGCTTTTTATTAGCACTGATCACTGTATTAGTGTTATTGGGATGTCAGTGGCAGTTGGTTAGTTCCCCCCCAGTGTCAGAATGCCCACTGCAATCCCACAGTCCCACTATAAGTCACTGATCGCCGCCATTAATACTATAAGAAAAAGAAAAATAGAACTTTCAGTATATATACCGCCAATTGTAGACGCTATAACTTTCACGTAAACCAATTAATTTACATGTATTGTGAGTTTTGTTTTTTTTTAGCAAAGACATGTAGCAGAATACATTTTGGCCTATATTTATGAATAAATTAGATTTTTAAAATGTTTTTACTGAATATGTTTTATAGCACAAATCCCCCCCACATTTTTTTTTTCAAAATTGTTTTTTATTTATAACACAAAAAATAAAAACCACAGAGGTGATCAAACACCACCGAAAGAAAGCTCTACTTGTGGGAAAAAAAGGACCTAAATTTCATTTATGTACAGCGGCGTTGCATGACCGCGCAATTGTCAGTTACAATAACGCAGCGCTGTATTGCAAAAAATGGCCTGGTCAGGAGGGGGGGGAGGTAAATCCTCTGGAGGGCAAGTGGTTAATGTATTACCTGCATTAAGGTAAAAAATGTCCTTTTGATTATATCGCCCCCTCACCTCCCTACTTATCCCTATCTCTATCCATCTGCAGCAGTACTGCTCTCTCTTCATCTCCTCACAGGACTCAGTGAGAGCAGTGGAAGCCTTTGGCTCCTGCTGCTGTCAATGAAATCCTGTGAGGAGAGAGCAGGGGGCAATGTGTCTATAGATGTACACAACTTGCCTTGGGAGTGAGCCTGCAGGTGCACCCACATAGGAAGCTGCTTTCTATGGTGACTGACCAAGAAGAGGAGAGGCCAAGAGCGCCAATGGGGGACCCGAAAGGAGAAGGTTCAGGGCTTCCCTGAAATACCATAGCACAGAGCAGGTAAGTATAACATGTATATTATTTTTTCTTTAAAAAAAAAAAGCTTTACAATAATTTTCTCAAAGGTTTGAGAGAGTCAGACATAGACGCAACACATGTGGGTGGAGTTATGTGATGTCTTGCTTTCCCCTACTAGCTAGCTTATGTGGAGATTGTAAGTGCAATTTTAACTTTTTTAATAAATTTAGTTTAATGGTTTTTTGATGGAGTTTTTCTCTGTTTTTATTATGTGTTCTGAACTATAACCATATTATAAGGAGTACCAGGTGACAGAGGTTTTGTATGTAAATATCTGCAGCCTTGATGCTTGGAAGCATATCCACCCAAAGTGTTACAAAACCCAGGACCCTATACCTGGTCTCCCACAGCACACAGAACATGGAAGTGCAATTATTTTATTAAATATAAACTACCTTTTCTCATCAGCAGTTAGAGCAGTCTTGTGACTTCTATCAGTGTCCAGTAGAGCACTGGTTAACGCTTGTAGGAGGAGCTTTCATTCTGCTCTAGGAGGCTGCAGAACCCCTGACCTCTGTCTGGACGGTGCTGATTGGCCCTGTGCTGATCACATACACTCTCCAGAGAAAAAAAAAACAACCTCTCTAGCAATACACACTAAACTGAGCATGTGCAGTGTGACTCCACACCATATGTCATATCAGGAGATAAGAGGGGGGCACTGGAAGAAGGGGAGGATAGGAAAAGTCAGGATTAAACAGGCTTTTTACACAGTGCAGAGGATTAATCCCTTAGGTTCCACAGTGAGTATAACAAGCATACTTTACTGCGTATACAGACTGATTTTACTGTTGTGGGTTTAGTAACACTTTAAGCGCTTGTTGTATCCTGTTGTATAATAGTGTTGTATAAAGGTGGGAGTACACCAACAGCAGCACAGTGGTGGTGATAGAACACACAGTGGGTATAGCTATTATAGGCACAGGAAAGACTTTCCACACACACACAAAAGACTGTTTCTTGATTTACATACTGAAGAAAGTTATATATATTTGGTTCATGTTTAATTTGAAAAAAGGGCACTTGATATATATTTTTCTGAATATGTGTGTTTGCACATTATATTATGTTTAGTTTTTTTAAATCATGTCAGTTCATCGCATTGTACTGCTGATTTTGGGTGGATATTTTGTGCCATTTTTTTTGATATTTGTATTTTTGTAACACATTTATTTTGGTTAGAAGTCTGCTTCACTATTTTTTCACTGTTTAATTTATTGTGATGACAACATGTATTAACATACCTTGGTCAATGACTGATACCCTATTTACTCCAAATTCTAAATTCAAAAATGCATTGAAAACATGCACCAAAGCACATCAAAATACAAGTCAAGGCACATGTTGATGCATGAACACATGTTGATGCATGAACACACACCTGCCTAATGTTACAAAACATGCACCTCTATGTACAAAATAGACCTTTAATATCTCTCCTATTAACATACACATCAAGTCTCATTGTCACAAGCCATGCCAGCCAGGAGGCAACCGTAATGTGTAACTAGATCTGTATTTATGTGTGGCATCAGAATATGTAAATAAGGCACCATGCCCAAGGAGGTCGAAGAAAATCACAGGAGATGTGATATAGTAATGGATTAATTCACCAAACCCGGGTCTGGGAGGTTATTTTTAAACTCCTATCTCCTGAGCTTGTAATGAACATATGTCCTGACACACAGGGATACGGAGCGAAGCAGGTGCAACAAGTGCTCTAAAAATACCCGTCAGAAAAGCAGCAGCTGGACAAGTCAATTAACCCATTATTCCTTTTATTAGTTAAACTATTTAACCCCTTCACTGACAGAGGAATGTGCAATCCTCGCAAAATGGTGAAATAAGAGTAAGTGGCTGAGCCCTTTGAGGAGAAGAGTCATAACTCCCACAGATCATTCTTCTGGGGGTTCATAATGAATTTAATAATGATGGTCTCCTCTATTCGAAGTCCAGATCCACTTAAGACATTTCAGTTTTGGGTGGACATCAGTAGCTTGAACTATTCTTTGAAAAAAACATAAAATTAAAATTCAGAGATATCCGAATCTGCTGGATAGGCCAGGAATTAATATTATTATATAGGATTTAGATAGCGCCAACAGTTTGCGCAGCGCTTTAGAATATAAAGGGAGACAGTACAATTACAATACATTTCAGTACAGAAGGAAGAGGAGGGCCCGGCTCGTGGAGCTTACAATCTAAAGGAAGGGAGAGGTGGTTCAAAAGGTGGTAGTTGCAGGGGATGATCTGATGGAGGTGACTCAAGTACAGTTCTTAGGTGGAGGTGGGGTAGGCTCCCTGAATAAGTGAGTTTTCAAAGATCGCCTAAAGGCAGACAGGGTGGGGGCTGACCGGACATAGGTGTCCTTTTATTATGCAGTGGTAAATGATCGCTGCTCAGTTCTCTGGCATTCTCAGTGGAGAGAGTTCTCCTCTGAATGCCTTTTTATAAAGCAGTGTAGAATGAAGAGCGAAGTGATCTACAAACACTTTGAATGCTAGAAAACGGCTGCTTTTATTATACAGTCTCGCGAGATTACAGTAAGAGATCAGTCGAACACCGTTTACTGAGCAGCTTCGTTTGCGGTTCCCCTGATTCTCCTGCTCTGGGCTGGAGAATCTGGAGGGAGAACACAGATCTCCAGTAAAGGGCTGACATGGCTCCTTCATAAACTGGCCATCTGTGTGCTGAGATGATCAGTGGAGAACATGTTCTCCGCTGATCATCTCTGTTTCCTAAACCACTAATGATCTGAGATCAGCAATGAACCTTAGGATCTCCGCTGATCTTTGTTTCATAAAAGAACACCATACTGTGGTAGGGAGTTTCAGAGGATGGGAGAAGCTCTGGAGAAGTCCTGGAGGTGAGCGTGGGAGGTGGTGGCAAGGGAGCTACAGAGCAAGATGTCATGGGAAGAACGTAGCGGGCGATTTGGACGATATCTTTGGATGAGGTTGGTGATGTAGCTAGGGACAGTGTTGTGGATGGCTTTGTAAGCTGTGAACAGTATTTTGAATTTTATACGTTGGGTTAGTGCAGGGGTAGGCAACCTGCGGCTCTCTAGCTGTTGTGGAACTACATTTCCCATGAGGCATTGCAAAGATTACAAAACTGACAGTTACAGCTATGACTTGCAGAGGCATGATGGAACTTGTATTCCTGCGGCTCTCAGGTTGCCTACCCCTGGGTTAGTGGAAGCCAATGAAGGAATTTTCAGAGAGGGGCAGCAGTCGCTGATTGGTTGATAAGGTGTATGAGTCTAGCAGCAGCATTCATAATAGACTGAAGGAGGGATAACCTGTGTAACAGTAGTCCAGTGAGGATTGAGTTACAGTAATCAAGGTGGGATAAAACCAATAAGTTGTTTTGTGGTGTTACTGGTCAGAAAGGGGCGGATTTTGGAAATGTTGCGGAGGTTGAGGCGGCAGGATTTAGCCAGTGATTGGATGTGGGGCCCAAAGGAGAGGTCAGAGTCTAGGATTACACCTAGCACCCTGGCATGAGGGGAGCTGTTGATCTTAATGGTAAAGTCATGAGTGGGAGATCTGGGAGGAGGAAATATTACAAGCTCGGTTTTAAAAAGATTGAGTTTGAGTTTCAGGAATGAGGATGTATGATGGTTTATGAACAGTTAAACAATAGCACCCTGACACAGACAACACAATTTGCTTCCTGTGCCATATAAATATTACAACTGTTACCTATTTTATGTATAACTACTACTATGTGTGATCTGTAAAGGTTTTTAAAGTATTGAACTGAGCAGACTCACTAGATATATAAATTATTATTTTTTTTATTATTTTGTCATATTTTTCTATTAATATGTAATAATGATGAAACAACTACTACTGTGCAAAATAAAAAAATACTGATTGAATACCACAATTGGTACACTCATTACATTCAATATAATATAATGGTAACATTCTATTTGTTTAGGATACCTAAAGTAGAACTCTATTCAAATTTAAAATATACCATTAAAATTGACATTTAACTTGCTTATATTTGTCTTTCCTGCCCCTTCCCCTCTTTTCAACATACCTTATTTTAGACTCAGTGATGTCATCTCTGTGTCTCTGTGCCTCTCTATGACTGGGGGCTGAGGAAGGCAGGGTGCT